CCCATTACATTTGCAGACTGTGGTATTTCGAGTAGTTTCCTGATCCACAAACTTGAGGGCCTCTGCTGCTCTGGAAATCTCAGTGTTTTGTCTTGGGACAGGAAATGGACCTCTTAGGGTTGTCCTACTTTTCCCTACATGACACATTCAAGCACGTCAGGTGAATCGCTGCATGTAACACAGCCACTAATGGAGATGTAGCCACAATATATGTCCTGTCACTTGAGCTCCCACTCTACCTGTTTGGCAAGCACTGAATTGGCCCACCATATCATTGCTGATGAGTTTGTATTCTACACGTATTTATTTTTTCTTTCACGGGACTGCTGTTTCAGCATATCTCCAACTTCTGTATCGTACAGTATTGTTCATCTGTCCTTTCTAGTCTTGTGGAAATGAATGCCTGGCCAAAGCTTAGACTAACAATATCAACCAGCATTAACTTCATCTGTCGCTGTTCATGTTGCTGTGATATCATCTCATACTTCTCACCTAAAATTTAGCTTTTCCTGCTGCTAACTTAGGGTAGTGTTGATGCAGTTTTTGTTAGCTTAAGCCTTTGAACATCCTTCTTGGTTAATGTTTTCCTCTGTAGGTATTATCATCATGTAATTATGTTGCTGTTTTTTAAAAATTCTGCTTAGGTTTGAGAAGATTTGTTTTAAATGGGGGAGGAGAGGATCTTCCAAAATACTAAAAACAAGCCACAAAAAATAATAGAGAGTCACAGAGTACACCACTGCTCAGCCTCCCTCATTCTGGGGCTTCCAGAGGTATTGAGTTAAAACTCCCACAGTCCCAACCAGTGTAACCAGTGGCTAGGGATGATGAGGTCATATCCATCATAATCGTGGTGACTACCCAATTACTGAAATCAAAATCTAGAGCATTTTTATTTAATTCCAATAATGAGAGACGTTCTTAGGAATGTCTCTATTTAAATCTCTTGTTCCTGGTCCGATGATTATGGCCTACTGGAAAACATTGCCATGAAGTCTGCTCAACTTTCTTTGGTGTAGGTCTTCCATCGTCCTCTTGAAGTAGGTAACACAGACTAGAGTTCAGGATAACCCATTCCTTCAATGGTTGTTCTGTCAAGTTGGTTGCCCACTGTTGGCAGTTTTTGAATGGATCAGCTTTTCCAGCCACCTGCATTGAACTTAGCTCTCAGTCACCCTTTGTGGAGCCTCCAAAGGCCATGGTTGCCGGGATGATGAGAGGTGTAGTCCAGCAGAAATTGGGAAAGATTTGTGTAGGTTTTGCTCAAACGTCTGTGTATTAACGTTTGTATCCTAACCCTAATGGCGTTCTTCCACCTTTTTGCTGCATCCAATGTTTCAACTTCCTGATGAATTCTTTCCATGATGACTTTTCAACTTCTCAGGCCGATCAGGTACAGTGGTTTCCCCCATCTTAGGCCTTTTTATGTGCTTGTTTTCCCCCTCTCCTTAAATACAGTATATTGATTTGTTCTCCATTCACCTTTTTTTAAAAAAGAACACTTCTATATAAAATCCTGTATCTGTCCAGGGTATTGATTTTCTTTTGTTGAGAGGGATTCTTTAAACTACTGATTCTCATCCGTGGGGTGGGGGGGGGGGGGCAAACAAAATCCCCGGGGGGGGGGGGTGTTGGAAAGGGTTTTTTTTTTTCCAAAAGGCAGGGAGGGAGAGGAAGGAGAAAAATTGAGAAGCTAAAGTCCACAAGTAGGGACTTTATCAAAAGGGATATCCTTTTGAAGAGCAACAGCCAATTTGGAATTTTAAATAAATAGTGTTTACTAAAGT